TCTATTTTGTCTGATATTAGGATGGCTACTAATTGTGCCAGTGTTGTGGTATAGCAGGTTAAGCCTCAGCCTGCAAACCTGGCATCCAAATGGGTGCCAGTTCAAAACTTGGCTGCTCCATTTCCAATGCAGCTCCCTGCTAATGTGCCTGAGAAGGCAATGGAAGATGGCCCAAGTGCTTGGGCCCCTGAACCCACATGACAGACCTGGAACAAGCTCCAGGGCTCCCAGCTTCGGCACTGGACATTATGGTCATTTGGCAAATGAATTAGTGGATGGAATATCTCTGTCTCTCCATTTCTCTCTATAACTCTACTTTTCAAATAAATAAAAACGAAATCTCAAAAAAAATTAAAAATAAAGGATTGCTACTCCTGATGTTTTTTGCTTCCTATTAGCATGGAATATCTCTTTCTATCCTTTCGCATTCAGGCTGTGTGCATCTTTATTGATGAGTTGTTTCTTGTAGTCAGCAAATAGATGGATCTTATTTTTTATTCCATTCAGCCAGTCTGTACCTTTTAACTGGAGAATTCAGGTAAAATATATTCAGTAATTATTGATAAGTAACAACTTGGTCTTGCCATTTTTCCATGAATATTCCTATAATTTGCTTTGGATTTCCTTTGTACTTTTTTAAGATTTATTTTATTTATTTGAAAGATAGAGTTACACAGAGAGAGGTAGAGACAGAGAGAGGTCTTCCATTTGCTGGTTCACTCCCCAGATGGCTGCAATGGCTGGAGCTGCGCTGATCCAAAGCCAGGAGCCAGGAGCTTCTTCCAGGTCTCCCACATGGGTGCAGAGCCCCAAGGACTTGGGCCATCTTCCAGTGCTATCCCAGGCCATAGCAGAGAGCTGGATCGGAAGAGAAGCCAAGACTAGAACCGGTGCCCATATCGGATGCTGGCACTTCAGGCCAGGGCTTTAACCCGCTATGCCACAGCACTGGCCCCTTCCTTTGTACTTTTACTAGGAGATGTTTTGCTTTCACATTCTTTCATAATAGGGACTATCTTTGTTTCTGTACATAGCACATCCTTAAGTATCACTTATAAGGCTGGACAAATGGTGAAAAATTCTTTCAATTTCTGTTAGTTTTGGAAAGTATTTCATCTTTATTTATAAATGAGAACTTTGCTCATTTTAGTACACTGGGTTGATAATGTTTTTCTTTTAGGACTTGAACCACATTTCTCCATTCTCTCCTAGCCTGTAGGGTTGCTGATGAAAAATCAGCTGTCAGTCTAATTGGAGATCCTCTGAAGCAATATGGCATTTGTCTTGTGCACATTTTGGAATCTTTATGTTTTACTGTTCAAAGTTTGACTACAATGCATCATGGTGAAGATCTTTTCTGGTCATGTCTATTATGAGTTCTATGCACTTCCTGTATTTGGATGCCCCTTTCTCCAAATTAGGGAAGTTTTCTGTTATTATTTCACCAAATAGGCTTCCTAATCCATTCTCTCTTTCCACACCTTTAAGAATTCCTAAGACATATAAGTTAGGTCATTTGATAATATCTCATAAATCTTAAATATTATTCTCAGTTTTTCTAATTTTTTGTCTATTTCCAAAGACTTGTCTTCTAGCTCTGATATTCCTTCTTCTGCCTCACCAAGTCTCTTGTTAAGGGTTTCCACTGTGCTTTTTATTTGAAGTATTGAATTCTTCATTTCTAATATTTCAGTTTCATTTCCCTTCAATATATGTATCTCCTGGCAACAGTTTTCATCTATGTTGTGTATGGATTTCTTTAACTTGTGAATTTGCTTCTCATTGTTTTTGAGTAGTCTTATGATCATTCTTTTGAATTCCTTTTCAGGCATTTCATTAATCTTTTCATCTTCACATTCTAATATTGAAATGTTGTTCTGTTACTTGGGGGGAGTCATTTTGTCTGCCTTGTTCATGTTTCTCATCATTTTTTTTTTTTAAGATTTTACTTATTTATATGAAAGAGTTAGAGAGAGAGAGAGCAAGCGAGCGAGTGAGCTTCCATTTCCTGGTTCACTCTCCTGATACTTTGAATAACCAGGGATGTGCCAGGCTGAAGCCAAGAGCCAGGAGCTTCATCCAGTCTCTCATGTGGGTGGCAGGCCCAACCACCAGGGCCATTTTCTGCTGCTTTTCCCAGGCCATCAGCAGAGAGCTAATGGAGCAGCCGGGACATGAACTGGCACCCACATGGGATACCAGTGTGGCAGTCAGCAGTTACCCACTACATGGTTACCCATGCTACAATGCTGGTCCCACCTTCTTATATCTTAACAATCTCATTGGTAATGTAACTTCTCAAAGACAATGCTACAGCTTACCACTGCATAGCTTAATAACAAGTGTTTCAGAAATATCTGCCCAATAATGAACACTACCAAATGGTTTCATTTCTTTTGCAATTATCCAAAGTTTAGATTTCCTACTGTACTCCTACTCTTACCAACCTCAAGACTATCAAAATTTTCTCTTCCATATGCTACAAGCTCATGCCTTTCCTGTCTTTAAGTCCTATAAGAATAAAAATTAAATGCATTCTATACACACACACACACACATACACATTTCCTTTTACGGCAAAGTATTATATAAAATTGTTCACTATAAATTTTAAGAATAACTCTAGAACAGATTTATAGCTGTTCTTCTATACCCATGGGGGACTGGGTCTAGAACCCTAACTCCACTTCCACCCCCCGCTCCCCACCAGAATATCAAAATTTGTGGATGCTCACATTTCCTATGTAAAATGTAGTAGTATTTCCATATAACTTATACACATCCTCTCTGATTTTAATTATACCTCTGGATTACTTATAATACTTAATATAATGTAAGTGCTAGGCAAATAATTGCTATACTGTATTATCTAGGGAATAATGATCAGAAAAACAGTCTGCACATGTTCAGTACAGCTTTTCCCCAAATATCTGTGATCCACAGTTTGAATTCAAGGATTAAATCTATCTTCCCAAAAATGATGCTGAAATTCATATGGAGGCACAGGAGACCTCAAATAGCTAAAGCAATCTTGTACAACAAAAACAAAGCCGAAGGCACCACAATACCAGATTTCAGGATATACTACAGGGCAGTTACAATCAAACCAGCATGGTACTGGTATAGAAACAGATGGATAGACCAATGGAACAGAATTGAAACACCAGAAATCAATCCAAACATCTACAGCCAACTTATATTTGATCAAGGATCTAAAACCAATTCCTGGAGCAAGGGCAGTCTATTCAACAAATGGTGCTGGGAAAACTGGATTTCCATGTGCAGAAGCATGAAGCAAGACCCCTAACTTACACCTTACACAAAAATCCACTCAACATGGAAGAAAGATCTAAATCTACAACCCGACACCATCAAGTTATTAGAGAACATCGGAGAAACCCTGCAAGATATAGGTACAGGCAAAGACTTCTTGGAAAAGACCCAGGAGGCACAGGCAGTCAAAACCAAAATTAACAATTGGGATTACATCAAATTGAGAAGTTTCTGTATGGCAAAAGAAACAGTCAGGAAAGTGAAGAGGCAACCAAGAAAATGGGAAAAAATATTTGCAAATTATGCAACTGATAAAAGATTAATAACGAGAATATACAAAGAGATCAACAAACTCAACAACAACAAAACAAACAACCCACTTAAAAGATGGGCCAAGGACCTAAATAGACATTTTTTTTCAAAAAAGGAAATCCAAACAGCCAACAGACACATGAAAAAACGTTCAGGATCACTAGCAATCAGGGAAATGTAAATCAAAACCACAATGAGGTTTTACCTCACCCCGGTTAGAATGGCTCACATACAGAAATCTACCAACAACAGATGCTGGCGAGGATGTGGGGAAAAGGGACACTAACCCACAGTTTGGAAATTCCTCAGAAACCTGAATATAGCCCTACCACATGACCCAGCCATCCCCTCCTTGGAATTTACCCAAATGGAATTAAAGGGAAAAAAAAAAGCTGTCTGCACCTCAATGCTTATTGCAGCTCAATTCACAATAGCTAAGACATGGAATCAACCTAAATGCCCATCAACAGAAGACCGGATAAAGAAATTATGGGATATGTACTCTATAGAATACTATACTGCAATAAAAAAAATGAAATCCAGTCATTTGCAACAAAATGGAGGAACCTGGAACACATCATGCTGAGTGAAATAAGCTAGTCCCGAAGACAAATATCATATGTTCTCCCTGATCTGTGACAACTAACTGAGCACCTAAAAGGAAACCTGCAGAAATGAAACTGAAACTATGAGAATGAATTGATCAGCCCTTGTCCTGACTGTCGAGGAACAGCTATTTTATTATTTTTAGTATTTTCTTGTTCTACTTAATACCATTGGTTGAACTCTTTAATTAACACACAATTATTCTTAGGTGTTTAAAATTTAACTGAGAAGTAATCCCTGTTAAAAATAGGAGTCGGAATAAGAGAGGGAGGAGATGTACAGTTTGGCAAATGCTCACTTGGACTTACCCCTAATGGTAGAGCTAGAAATGTGCCATGGGATTCCAAATCCCATTAAGGTGGCATGTACTGATGCCATCCTACTAGTTAATGCGATCAGTTTAAGTTCATAATTGATCATAATGATATGATTAAGTGTCAAAGGGATCACATAAATAAGACCAGTGTCTGCTAATAATAACTGATAGAATTAAAAAGGAGAGAATGACTCCCAAACCAAACTTGGATATTTTGTTTACAATGATTCATGGAGAAAGACAAAGTAACTGAATCTTAGGAGGGCACCTATATAGTGAAACAAGGGGTTTTAATCTGTATTCCCCTCATCTTCTAACATTAATCACAAAAGGTAAGTCTCCAAATTTTACTTTTATCTAAGTTAACTTTGATTTAACTTTATGATCAAAAAAATTCTAAAAAGCAAAGCAAATAGCCATAACAATTTGCCAATTCTGTACCAGCCCCAGAGGGAGGAAAGAAGCATGTAACTGAGAAGAAAGAAGTCTTTACCTTTGATATCACCCCCAGCACAGAAAGCCTTTTCTCCAGCTCCCTTTATTAGGATCAGGAAGGTTTCAGGATCTTGTTCCCACTTCTATCCAAATGTAAAAGAAGATGGCATAAGCATATTATAAATACAAACTTATTAAAGACATATCCACATATGAACATACAGCATTCACGCATGTGTGTGTACATACAGATCCTGTTCTAAAACCCATCCAATAGAACCGATCCCATCTGTCCACTCATCACTGAAGGAATTTTATTTTCTGATATGAAGTAGAGGCTATATCAACAAGGTTACTGGACAAGTATCTTGTGACATGTTTCATGACAACATTTGAAATTTCCACTATTGGAAATCAAGAAAAATATGGGCTTAATGTTGTTACATAAACAAAAATTTGGTAAACAAACCAACCCAAAGACTGAGGAAAAATAAGCAATAACCTTTCTACTGTAGTGATACAGGATGCTGTTCTAATGAAAAATGTATAAGAACACAGTGAAACCATTTATGACTTTGATCAAATATGCAAGTGACTTGGGGTTGGTAAGGACAACTTAAAAATAAGCAGCATGAAGCGCGCCAGCCACAGCAGCCATTGGAGGGTGAACCAATGGCAAAAGGAAGACCTTTCTCTCTCTCTTTCTCTCTCACTGTCCACTCTGTCAAAAAAAAAAAAAAAAAAAAGCAGCATGAAAGAATCAAGAGTAAAAGGAGGGGTGAGTGTTTGGTGCAGCAGTTAAGTTGTTGCTTGGGATTCTCACATCTCCTATCAATGAGTGGTTTGATTCTGAACTACTCTGCCTCCAATCCACCTTCTGCTAATGCGCACCTTTGGAGGCAGCAAATAATGGCTCAAGCACTTGAGGCCTTGCCACTCAATAGGAGACCTAGATAGGGTTCCCAGTTCCTGGCTCTGGCCTGATTCAGGCCTACTATTGCATTTGGAGTGTGAACCAGCAGATGCTAAGATCTCTTGCCATCCCTATCTTTCAAACAAACTGAAAATAAAGAAAATTAAAAAAAAATGTCAGTTGAAATTGAAAAGTTTTGAACAATGGTCAAAATGACAAACTACTTAACCAAAGAAAAATCAACAGGGGCTAAATTCTATACTAGAGAATAAAAATATAAATGTGGGGCCAGCACTGTGGCTAAGCAGATTAAGCTGCCATCTGCAGTTCCAGCATCCCATATGGGCTCTGGTTCAAGTCCCAGCTGCTCCACTTCTGATCCAGCACCCTGCTAATGTGCCTGGGTAATCAGTAAAAGGTGGTCTAAGTACTTGGGCCCCTGTACCCACGTGGGAAACCACGAAGAAGCTCCTGGCTCCTGGCTTCAGAACGGCCCAGCTCTGGCCACTGCAGCCATTTGGAGAGTGAACCAGTGCATGGAAGATCTGTCCTTCTCTTTCTCTCTGTAACTCTGCCTTTCAAATGAATACAAAAATACTTAAAATATACATATGTATCTATACATACACATAAATGCATATACACACATACACATAAAAGCACAAAGAAGCTATAGAGCTGCACAGACGTGAATTCCAAAATGCTAATGTACCAGGTCTGCACTGTGGCACAGCAGATTAAGCCACCACCTATGCCACCAGAATCCCATACTGGAGCACCAATTTGAGGCCCAGTTGTTCTACTTCCCATCCAACTCCCTGGTAAAGCACCTGGGAAAGCAGGGAAGGATGGCCCAAGTACTTAGGTCCCTGCCACCCATGTGGGAGACCCAGTCGGAGCTCTGGGCTCCTGGTTTTGGCCTGGTCCATCCCCTGCCATTGCAGCCATCTAGGCAGGGAGGCAGCATATGGAAGGGCTCTTTGTGTCTCTCCCTCTCTCATTCCGCCTTTAAAACAAATAAATAAACATTTTTTAAAAAACTTATCGGACTACATTAACAGAAATGTTATTTCAACACAGATTTTTCACTTTCTTCAATTCTAGTCCAACTCTAATCTGCAACACTTGGTTTATTTCTTTATATCACATTTTAGGACATATTTTCAGGTGTCCCAAACAGAAAAAGAAGAATGGAAGAGGGACTCACCAACATATTACAGAACTGATGGCTGGGGGACAATTAGTCTTTGTCCTTGGCAAACGGATTAGGTACTTACATATATTACTTCACTTAATCTTTACAACATTCTCACAAAATATCAGAATCCTCACTTCACAGTGGAGGAAAGTGAGGCATACAGACATTAACCTGCCGAACCTACACAATTAATAAGTAAAAATCCAAATTTCAATAGTTTGTCTTGAAGTCCTCTGTTTTTCTAATGTCCCATTAGTTCACTAAGAAAAGTTTATGACTTAGCTAAAAAAAAAAAAAAAAAAAACAGGTCAAGCAATTTAAAAACAGCTGTACAGGTTGTCATGTGGAAACAGGTTAGATTTGTAAGCTCGTGCCCTCAGAGGCAGAGCCAGTATCATTGGTTAAAAGGTCAGAGAAACAGCAGCCAGGGCATTGTGGCACAGAAGGTTAACCTACCTTTTCATATCAGAATGATGGTTCCAGTCAGTTTTTTGCTAATGTGCCTGGGAAGGCAGCAGATGATGGCCCAAGTATATGGGCCCCTGTCAGTCATGTAGATGGAGTTCCTGGCCCCTGGCTTCCCCTTGACCCAGACCTGGCTGTTGCTGCCATTTAGGGAGTGAGCCAGTGGACAGAAGATATCTCTCCCACTGCCCTCCACCCCCAGACCCATGTTTCAAATAAATAAATATTGCTTTGTAAAAATAAAGATAATTAAAAATGAATCTTAATGAAGAATGGGATGGGAGAGAGAATAGGAGATGGGATGGTTTGTGGGTGGGAGGGTGGTATTAAGGGGAAAAACTGCTAAAATCCAAAAGTTGTACTTTCAAAATTTATAGTTATTAAATAAAAGTTTTCTAAATAAATAAATAAAAGGTCACAGACACAAACAGCAAAAAGAAGAAACTTGTGAACCAATAGATATGTAAAAGAGAAAGGGGCTGAATGTGAGTCAATGAACTTATCAGCTGGGGTGCTCAAAGATAAGCACACAGGAAATGCACTGAAGTCCCAAGGATCAACGGAGCTTGGGCACATATCCCTGAGTTCTAAAACTCTGGGAGAAAATACCAGACATGTTCTATTGTGATATACTTTTTTTAAAGATCCACATAAGTGATTCTAAAAATTCACAAACCTTTAGCTGTGGATAAATCTGCCGAACCATACTAAAAGACAGTGCGTTCAGAAACTTCGGTCTGTTTAAGGTTATCACTCCTGCACAACCTTTCCTTTCCAACAGTACATCTCCAACTGCATCGGTGTGCTTCGACATTCTCTGTAAACAAAGAACACTTTATCATAAAATTCATTAGGTTTTTGCCACAAGCCAACATCAAAACATACACATCAAATGCAAATCATTGTCTTCAGTATGAATGAATCTCCTAGTTCTTTGAGGTATAATCGCACAACATTTTTACTATACCTACCAGTTTTTACAAAATAATATTAAGACTGTATGCCTAAGCTAGTAGTCTATGTTACAAGCAAGGTAACTTAAACAATTACCTATACAAAGGGTAAATAGAAACAATGTTAATTTCACCTTGGATCACTTTCACTGCATAGTACATTGCAATTGCATGTCAGTATAATGTCACTGATCGATATCATCAGTAACCCCTAAACTGAGAGGCATGGCAGCTCCCTGTGAGACACCAAAATGTAAATCTTAGTATTGGATCCTTCCTTCCTCCCTCTCTTCCTCTGAGCTGCCAGGAATGGGAAAGACAAAGGAAATGCAGAAATGCACATCTTGGGGCCCTTGCTATGGTGAATTAAACCACTCTCCAGAGCACTGGCATACCATGAGGGTACGGGTTTGAGTCCCAGCTATTCCACTTTTGATCCAGCTGCCTGATAATGCACCTGGGAAAGCAGCAGAAGATGGCCCAAGTCCTTGGGCCCCTACATCCACATGGGAGACTCAAATGAAGCTCTGGGGTCCTGGCTTTGGCCTGGCCCAGCCCCAGTTGATGTGACCATTGGGGAGTGGATCAGCCGATAGAAGATCTCTCTCTGTAACTTTGCCTTTCAAATAAATAAATCTTTTTAAAAAAATGCACATCTTTCATATTGATAACTAAAAGCATCAATAAGTAGGTAAATCTAACAAAGTTATTGAAAGTTATTCTGACAAATGCCCTAAACAGCACTCTGGCCTCTGAATCAGCCTTTAAGGCATTCAGATCTGGCTAAAAAGCCCATGAGAGCATTTCAGGCATGGAAAGCCAAGACACTGTGGCAAAAAATGACCTACAAGAAAGATCTCTGTGAATGAGATCCCAGCGGAAAGAACAGGACATCAAAGAAGGAGGTACCTTTCTCTGAAGGGAGGAGAGAACTTCCACTTTGATTATGGCCTTGTCTAAATAAGATCGGAGTTTGTGAACTCAAGAGGCTTCCATAGCCTTGGCAACTCATGACAAGAGCCTCAGGTGATCACTGACACCATAAATAAGAGTGTTAACTGTTAAAACAACAACAAGAGTCATGGTGCACTTCTCCCCATGTCGGACCTCCATCCTTATGTGCTGTACTAAGAGAATTAATAGTAATACTAGTCTTCAAACAGTACTTTATACTTTGTGTGTCTGTGTGGGTGCAAACTGTTGAAATATTTACTTAGTATAGAGTTGATCTTCTGTTAATAAAGATAATTAAAAATGAATCTTAATGAACAATGGGATGGGAGAGGGAGTAGGAGGTGGGATGGTTTGGGGGTGGGAGGGCGGGTATGAAGGGAAGAACCACTATAATCCAAAAGTTGTACTTATGAAACTTATATTTATTAAATAAAAGCTTTCTATAAAAAATTTTAAAAAGAAAGTTATTCAGACTTTGCATACAGGCAATTCCAAGACAAACTATACATACCTCCTGAATTTCAAAATTTTCAGTTCTGAGAGAATTTAATCAACTGACAGTATACAGCCCAGTCCTAAAATCCCTCAGACTATGAAATACTATTTAGTCTTCTATTTATTACTGTCTATCAATCTCTATATTAGGTGTTGAAAGAGTAAAGATGAATGAAAGGCAGCAAATAAAAATCCAATAAGCAGTGTATTTCTTACTTGAAAAACTTTTTGATAGAATTGCTCTTGAAATTTATATTTTGCAGAACATATTCTGAAAAATACTTCAGAGCCTTCATAAACAGTGTAAGAAATAAACGCTCCCGGCCTGCGCCATGGCTCAATAGGCTAATCCTCCGCCTGCAGCGCCGGCACACCGGGTTCTAGTCCCGGTTGGGGCGCCGGATTCTGTCCCGGTTGCTCCTCTTCCAGGCCAGCTCTCTGCTGTGGCCCGGGAGTGCAGTGGAGGATGGCCCAACTGCTTGGGCCCTGCACCCCATGGGAGACCAGGAGAAGCACCAGGCTCCTGGCTTTGGATCAGCGCAGTGCGCCGGCCTCAGTGCGCTGGCCGCAGAGGCCACTGGGGGGATGAACCAACGGAAAAGGAAAACCTTTCTCTCTGTCTCCCTGTCTCACTGTCCACTCTGTCAAAAAATTTAAAAATTAAAAAAAGAAATAAATGCTCCCTTGAGGAAAACACAGTAGGTATCCGAAAAACGTTTGACAAATGGAATGAACAACCCATCACTCTACTGACACAGTCCAGAACCGTTAGCCTTGGACGAGCTTCACACTGTGGCTTAACTGAAGCACACTCTGCAACACTCAGTGCCCACTCTCTCAGTGGCTGGAGTGTTATAGGTAAGTCAGGGGAGCCAGATTATCTGGGTTCAAACTGTACTTCAAATTTACTAGCTATGTGACACTGGGACATGTTACCTTGTGTCTCTGACCCTCAATTTCTGATCTGTTAAATGGGAATGAGGGGGCCAGCCTTGTGGTGCAGCGCATTAAAGCCCCAGACTGCAGTGCCAGCATCCCACATGTGCACCAGTTCGAGTCCCAGCTGCTCCTTTCCAATCTAGCTCTCTGCTATGGTCTGGGAAAGCAGTGGAAGATGGTCCAACTCCTTAGGCCCCTGCACCCGCATGGGAGACCCAGAAGAAGCTCCTGGTTCCTGGCTTTGGATCAGTACAGCTCTGGTCATTGTGGTCATTTGGGGAGTGAACCAGCAAATAGCAGATCTCTCTCTCTCTCTCTGGCTCTACCCCTCTCTGCAACTCTGTCTCTCAAATAAATAAAATAATTCTTAAAAAAAAAAAAAAATGGGAATGAGACCACCATCCCTAATTCAGAAAATTCTCTAGATTTTAGAAAAGTAACACAGAATGTATTATATCCTATATAAAACACCCTAAATGAAGTCTGGGTCCATATATTATAATCAAACATTTATTCTATTTTTACACCAAACTATGAATATTCACATTACCTAAGATAAAGACAAAAACAGCTTCCAGTACATTCAGGTTAGATTTTGCCACCAAATATATTTACCACAAGCAAACAAACAAAAGAAGAAAAAAAAAACAACTTTGGTTTGGGTATTTTAGAACTGCAGATATAAGATTTCTAGTATTAACCATAATGAGAAATAACTGAGCCACTACATATCAAGTATTTAGGACAGTATTTGGCATACATTAAGTACTATGTAATATGCCTTGTTATTTTTATGTGCAGGATACTAATCAGGCTCTATAAGGGACATAAAGTGAACCAAAAAATTTATTTTTTACAATCTGATAAATTAAAAACATTTAAACATTGGAAAGGTACCATTAAACAAAATAGCCAACAAGTATAAAATGATTATTGTGTATCATGCACTTTTTAAAATGTATTATCCTATTTATCACTTATAAGAACTTTAAGGTAGAAATAAGGAGGCTTCAAAAAGTTCATGGAGAGGGCTAGCACTGTGGCATAGCAGGTAAAGCTGCCGCCTATTGTGCCAGCATCCCATATGGCCGCCAGCTCGAGTCCCAGCTGCTCCACTTCCGATCCAGCGCTCTGCTATGGCCTGGGAAAGCAGTAGAAGATAGTCCAACTCCTTGGGCCCCTGCACCCTCATGGGAGCCCTGGAAGAAGCCCCTGGATCTAGCTTCGGATCAGCTCAGCTCCAGCCGTTGCAGCCAATTGCGGAGTGAACCGGTAGATGGAAGTCCCCTCTCACTCCCTGCCTCTCCTTCTGTGTATAACTCTTTCAAATAAATAATAAATAAATCTTAAAAAAAATTTTTAAAAAGACAAAAAGTTCATGGAAAAATCATGTTACCTTTTTCAAAATTTTTATTTATTTTCAATTTATTTGAAAGGCAAAGAAACAAAGAGTAGTCTATGTCAACTGGTTCACTTCCCAAATTCCAGCAATAGCCTGGTCTGGGCCAGGCCAAAGTCAGGAACTCAATCCAGTTTCCCATGTGGGTGCCAGGGCCCCAAATACCCATTGCCTCCCAGGATGCTGAGCAAGACACTGGAATTGGAAGCAGAGCAGGGGCTCCAACACAGGCATTCAGACAAGGATATGCGCATCCCAAGTGGCGTCTGGACTGCTGCATCAAATGCGTATCCCACATTATCTCTTATTTCATTTCCCCATGAAAAGCCCTCTCACACAATTATTATCCTCATTTTGAATACATCAAAAGGGAGTCCAAGACTAAGTGGTAGACCCACTATTTAAACCCAGACATTCTGACTTGAAGAGCCATGCTTTTAACCATATCCTATGCCACCTCCTACAGGGTACATGTGTCAAGTGCTGACATTATAAAATTGAGAATCTCAGTGTACCAAAGAAAATCTGCCAACTCAATATTTCTCTACTTCCCTAACAATGGTGTTTTAAGTTACACATCACAATCCAATAATGTCAATAAAACAAAGTCCAAACTTACCAAATGTTGCAATATGATATTAGTTCTTTTGAATGAACTGAACCTGAAACAAACATAGAATACAATGAGCACAGTAATGTGGGTATTCATGTCTCAATTTATAAACACTATATGCCCTTTCGCTTTAAGCTCTTCTAAAACATTAGAACAAAAGGTTGTGTGTGTTTTTAAATTCTCAGGACCAGTGTAGTGGCATACATAGCAGTTTAAGCCTCCACATTCAATGCCAGCATCCAATATGGGTGCCAGTTTGAGACCCGGCTGCTCTATTTCAGATCTAGCTACCTGCTAATTCACCTGGGAACCCAGTGGAAGAAAGCCCAAGTGCTTGGGCCCCTGCACCATGTGGGAGACCCAGAAGTAGCTCCAGGCTTCTGGCTTCAGCCTGGCCCAGCCCCAGCCAAGCCCCAGCGTTGCAGCTATTTGGGGAGTGAAACATGGGTGGAAGATTTCTCTCTCCCCTTCTCTCTCTCACGTGCTTTGTCCCTCTTCCTCTAACTCTTTCAAATAACTAAATAAATCTTAAAAAAAAAAATTCTCACTCACTGCTGGTAGGAACACAAAAAGGTATTGCCACTTGCAGACGGTTGAGTAGTTTCTCACAAAACTAAATGAACCCTTACAACACAACAATTTTGCTCTTTGATATTTTCCTGTAGGAACTGAAACTTTATGTCCACACAATATCCAAACATGAATATTATGGTAGCTTTATTCATAATTGCCAAGCTGTGGAAGGAACCAAGACATCCTCCAAAAGGTGAAAGACAAATCTTAGTATATCCATACAGGTGAATAAAATCTTAGTCAAAAAAATAAATGAGCTACCCCCCCCCCAAATAAAGATAGCAATTTGAATGCGTACTACAAAGTCAAGGAGAGACTATAAATTGTATACTTTCACCTATCTGATATTCTGAAAAAGGCAAAATGATGGAGTCAACAGAAATCAGTGGTTGCCAAGTGCTTCTAGGAGGGAGGGAGGAAAGAACAGGTAGACCACAGGAGATAATTAGGGCAGTGTAACTAGTGTGTATGATGCTGCAATACATGTCACTACCCTTCTATCAAAATTTTCTGCTCAATTTTTCTGTAAACCTAAAACTGCTCTAAAAAATAAAGCTACTGGGGCAAGTGCTGTGGCATAGGGAGTAAAGCTGCCACCTGCAGTGCCAGATTCCCATATGGGTGTTGATTCATGTCCTGGCTGCTCCACTTCCAATCCTGCTCCCTGCTGATGGCCTGGGAAAGCAGAAGATGGCCCAAGCCCTTGAGCCACTGCACCCATGTGGGAGATCCGGAAGAAGCTCCTGCTTCTGGTTTCAGATGGGCAAGCTATGGCCGTTGCAGCCATTTGGGGAGAATGAACCAGCGGACGGAAGATGTTTCTCTCTCTCTCTCTCTCTCTCTCTGCCTCTGCGTAATTCTGCCTTTCAAATAAATGAATAAATAAATCTTTAAAAAAATAAAACTATTAAGTTTTTTTTTAAAAAAAGGTTTAGTTAAGATATAATCTTACCAGCAATCTCCGAAGCTACCAAAAGATAGATTGGTACTGCCTTTTTATTTTTTAAGATTTATTTATTTCACTTGAAAGGTGCAGTTACAGAGAGGGAGAGGCAGAGAGAGAGAGACACCTTCCATCTGCTGGCCACAACGGCTGGAGCCGGGCCAGTCCAAAGCCAGGAGCCAGGAGCTTCTTCTGGGTCTCCCACACGGGTACAGGAGCCCAAGGACTTGGGCCATCTTCCTCTGCTTTCCCAGGCACATTAGCACGAAGCTGAATCAGAAGAGGAGCAGGCAGGACTCGAACCACTGGTACCCATATAGGATGCCAGCACTTCAGGTGGCGGCTTAATCAGCTATGCCACAGCACCAGCCCTGGTACTGCCTTTCTAACAAGTAGTTTGAAAATGAAGAACCGCAGCTTTTAAAAACATCATACCTTCAGCCTAGTAATTCCACGGGCACTTGCACTTGGGAAATTCCAGAGGGGTGACCAAAGTTTGATTTATAAGGACACAATTACATGAAGAAAAACTCAGAACAAAATACCTAGCAGAGCAATATTTTTAAATTGTGACATCTATACATGACCATCACAAAGCCACTAAAAATACCTAAAAAATATTTAATACTTATGACCTGGAAAAATATTAATGACAAAAATATAAAAACAGGCTACAAGGGATAAACATACTTCTGATTTTATTGTTGTAAAAGTGTTTGCTAGGATAGGAATACAAAGCTTAAGACACAGCATAGCAAAAATGACCAAGAAACATGGAGTTTCTTGGAAGTTTTTTGGTTGGAAGTTGGAAGTTTCTGGAGTTGGAAACTCTCTAATCAGATGGCGGTTACAGGGTTGTGCACACAGGTAAACACTAAGTTATAAACTGCAGAATAGTGCATCCAAATAACTTATATAAATTATAATAAATAAAAAGTTACTTGGGGGAGGGTGATAACAGGAAGGCACATGAGGTCGGCTTCTGGAACGCTGGTGTTGGCTAATTTCTTGATCCAGGTGCCAAGGGTTTAGATATGTGTGGGCTGTAAAAACTCATCAAATTCTTTCTGCTCTGGGACTTTCTAAAAAGTTTCCAGAAAAACCACAGTTCTTGACAACTAACAATGCACTAAGAGATACACATTAAAATACTTTAATTATAATGTATTGCAATGCATGCTTCTGTTTAGGAAGTTAAGAAATATAAGATGCATGGAAAAATCAAAGCTAGAATCATTAGCTGTAGCCACCCAGTGAAGACTCTGCACTTCTGCAAACACATGTACTAACTGTGGGAACTGATACATTGCCAATTCTTTTTTTCAAAGATATTTTGAGATATGAAAAGTTATAGCCCAGCTGAGGCTTTAAAAATGGCAATATGACTATTATTAACACTTATAGACACATTTTAGATGACTGAACTTATACAAATACTTGTAATTTCAACTTTTCAAACTTATACTACTTTCCTGTTACACTATATTCAGGTTGCATAATACAGGGCTGGCACTGTGGCGCAGCTGATTAGGCTGCTACCAGCAACACCAGATGGCCCAAACACTTAGCCCCTGTCACCCCCATGGGAGACCCGGATGGAGTTCCTGGCTTTAGCTTGGCCCAGCTGAAACTGTTACAGGTATTTAGGGAATGAACCTCCAGATGAAAATTTGCTGACTCTCCATTTCTCTCTGTAACTCTCCCTTTCAAATAAATAAATCCTTCTAAAAAAAAACTGAATACTATTACCTCAACAATGGGCACTTTTTTTTAAGCACTCTTACTTCACATTCCTGGACTACATATTCAGAATTTGCCTTAACTCAAATAAAACATTTTATCCTAGTCAAGGGATTCCACAACATTTCTGCTCATTAGAGTGGGCTGATGTTGTGGCGCAGTCGGCTATGCCACTGCCTGTGACACTGGCATCCAATAGGGATACCTATTCAAGTCTAGCCTGCTCCTCTTCTGATCCAGCTCCCAGTTAATGTGCCTGGGAAAGCAGAAGATGGCCCACATTGCTTGGGCCCTGACACACAAGAAACCTGGATAGACTTCCAGATTCCTGGCTTCTACCTGGCCCAGCCCCAACTGTGTTGCGGCTTCTTGTAAAGTGAAACATGGGATGGAAGCTCGCTCTGTCTCTCCTTCTCTAATTCTGCCTTTCAAATAAGTAAATAAATCTTTATAAAACAAAAAAGAATCACCAGGGACTCTTGTAAATTCCAAAGCTCAAGTCACAGCAAAGACCAATTAAATTCAATCATAAACTCTGGAGGGGTGATACAGGCATAAGTATTTTCTTTGAAGCATTACCAAATGATTTCAAATAGCAGGCAAGATGGAAATAAAATGAAATCTTTGTAAAATTCAAACTGAAGTGACAGTATCCCTAGTTTATTGAAAGGTTTTTTTTTCTTTTTTGTGATAACATACTTTCAGTTGCTTTAAGATTTATTTTATTTATTTTAAAGGCAGAGTTACAGAAAAAGAGGAAGAGGAGACAGGGAGAGGGGAGACGGGGAGACGGGGAGACGGGGAGACGGGGAGAGGGAGAGAATCTTCCATCCACTGGTTCACTCCCCAAATGGTCTCAATGGATGGGATTGGGCCAGACAGAAGGCAGGAGCCAGGAAATTCTTCAGGGTCTCTGATATGAGCGAAGGGGCCCAAGCACTTGGGCCATCTTCTCCTGCTTTCCCAGGCACATTATCAGGGAGCCCAGTCAGAAGTGGAGCAGCTGGGATTAGAGCCAGTGCCCATATGAGATGTTGGCATCGCAGGCTGTGGCTTTACTGACTATGCCACAGTGCCCTGAGGGGCATTTTATAATTAAGGCTTTCATATAGACTTTTTATTTTTAAAGATTTATTTTATTTATTTGAAAGAGTTACACAGAGAGAGGAAGAGACAGAGAGAGAGGTCTTCCATCGCTGGTTCACTCCCCAGATGGCCGCAATAGCTGGAGCTGTGCCAGTCTGAAGCCAGGAGCTTCTTCTGGGTCTCCCATGTGGGTGCAGGGGCCCAGAGACTTGGGTCATCCTCCACTGCTTTCCCACACCATAGCAGAGAGCTGGATTGGAAAGGAGCAGCCAGGACTCGAACCAGCACCCATGTGGGATGCCAGCACTTCAGGCCAGGGTGTTAACCGGCTGTGCCATAGTGCCGGCCCCTCATACAGACTTTTAAAATCTGAGCGACACTAAATTTTTTTCGACTTGACTCAAAGTCATCATTTTATACATACTAAGTATCAAAAAAATAAGAATTTCTTTAGGTCCAGAAGGACTTCAAATTCCTTAATGAGGCCAGTAGCCCAGTGTCAGTTCAAGGTTAAGGAGGCTGCTGCCAGATTGACAAGTCTTTTACAACTATTTAAGTGCTACAAGCACTATAAAAGTAAATGGAAGCAAAGGCCTAGCTTCAAGTCCTGAGACAGAATTTATTTCACTGCAGTGGTTAAGGTAAACCTACTGTATCAAAGAACAAAGCACTATATACAACATTTATAGAACACAAAAACCTCCGAA